TATATATATATATATATATATATATATATATACGGTATTACTGCCACACCTGTTCGTCCAGATTCGTGCGCGCGTTTGTAAATGTTATTAAAATTATTACACACACACACACACACATATATATATATATACATATATATATATATATATGTATCTCGCATTATCTCCAATATTATACGTTATTAATACATCGCACCGAAGCGCGTCTTTTTTTTGTATTATCGTTTATTCGCTTGTGTGTAGACGTAAACGCACGTAAACAACAAAATACGCCCCCGTGCATATACACACATGCACACACATGCACACACACACATACACACACACACATTATATATATATATATATATATATATATATATATGCATGTGTATATATAATACATGCACGCGTGTATGCATGCGCGTTGGAACGGATTAATACACGTTATAGGTTCTGGAACCGATAGTTCAAGTTCTAGAGAGAGTAGTACACGTTAAGGAACAGAGAGGTGAGTAGATTTTGATCCATTAAACGATAAAAAGAGTATTTACTCTCGCATGCCCACGGCGGTCTAGAATACTAAAGTATGTACTGTCCGTATCTGATACAGAGCGATAGTTGAATTCTACAATCGGTTCGAAATGTTATCGAATATGAAAAGATATACATTTATATATTTATATATGTACCAAACCGACGCATTGTTTTTTAACGACAGAGCGCGAATCGATCAAAATCTGAAGGTGATGCTTCCTCAACGATTCTCTTCTCAGATATTCAGTTACGTGATTATTCAAATATTACCCAGCGAGAAATGAACATCGACGTCGATTCGATGAGTCATTTCTCGTTGGATAAAAATTTAATTTCGCAATGCACATGGCGATGAAACACAATGCTTCCTTCCCTTTCATCTCGTTAAGGGGTCACACAGAACCCTGATAGGAGGAAAAATTTGGGGTATTATAAAAAGTTGTAAATTAATATTAACTTTTTGTTATGCATTAAATATATTTAACAATACTTTGGTATAAAAAAGAAAAATGTCTTGACACTGATTTCATTCCTGTTGAGACCAGAATGATTACCATTGATGCATGATTTGTTTGCAAAACAATATTGAAATGAATACAATGATATTATATTTACCATAAAATCGGATTTTTCTATACTAAAATATTGTTAAATGTGCTTGATAGATATATGTAACAAAGAAATTAATACTCCTATTAATTTACAATTTTTTAAAACTCCTCAAACTTTATCCAATCTTTACTTCTGTCAGGAATCCTGTGATTCTTTAAGGTTCTCGACTACTCACTGTGACTGTTTTGTTTAGCAACGTTTCAGAAGCGACAAAACGTGTACCAAGAATTTATATTTATTATGAAATTCACGGCGAATCCACAAACTGGCCAGGCACGAACCAGAAACGACGAAGTGAAACGTGGAGAAGAAAATTGGTGATAAACTGCGGAATGAAAACTCATATATTTATTGATTGTTTGAGTAAAAGTGTGCGTCCAATTTTACGAACCGATATAATGCAAAAATTCTTGGCTTCTGTTCCTCTCTTGTGACTTGTCATTAAACACGAATAATCACGTAGCAAGTAGTCAGGAGCTATAAGAAAAAATCGCACTCAGATCCGTGCCGTAATGACCGGCCGTTAAAAAATAATGCAGCACTTTTTTGAGACACCCTGCATATATTCTTCTGTATAAACTGTTTTCTCATTAGCCAATAAAGATTTTTTTTTTCATTTTTACAGTATTTTAGCCATTTTTTTAAGCTTCTGCGTGGAAATAGAATACTGAATTGTTATCGTTTCCTCTGTACTACGAAAGCAAGATGCATCACCGTAAGGTAATCCAGAAAAAGGAATGTGAGAAAATGACTGGATACGTGCACATTTTTAGCATAATATTAATAACAGTGTAGGCGCTAAGAGATATATCCAAACAGTGAAAAGTAGTCACTTAATTTTCAACAAAGACGAAAATGGAGCTGAAGGGCGCAGAGGAAAGCAGGCGATGGTTCTTTAGGAGACGACTACGGTTATCTAGCTTATTATGGCGATTGTATCTCTTTTTATATAAAATATACAAAAATATGTCGGAACGAATATTCACAGATCGAATATTAAAAGAGAGTCAGTGTAATTCAGTGTTAAGTTAGAGACGCTTACAGTGGATCTTTGGTAAGTTCCTTCTGGTAGGCAATCGGTGACTGTATCGCCTTCAGGAAATCGCGCTGTGTTTGCAGGATGGCAGTGATCGTGTCTACCCACTCCTGCCGGCGCGGTCCACCTTCTTCAGCTACGCTACAAGAAAATCCTAGTCCCGGCTTTCGAGGATCCGTTGATCGGATGACAAATTTTTCCGGGTCATCATTCGAATCTTCGAGACTCATCTTGTTTACCTGCGATATACAGTACAGTATATATTGTACACGATATTTCTTCTCGAATAATGAGGTATAAATATGTAATAAAATAAATAGAAAGAGTAAATAGTATGTTTAAATAATGTTGGTAAATTTAGTCATATATATATATAAAACCAAGGAGACGAAGGATAAAAACAAAAGAAGAAATGATGACGACGATTTTACCTGTATATGTGCTTTATATATATAGGCAGGATTGGTGAACTGAGTCTTCTTGCCGACAGATTCGCTGAAGATAATATTTTGCTCAAAAAGAAACACTTGCCATTCTTTCCCTCTCGTAGAGACATTCGAGATTTCCGACACTAGAAGCGGACCATGCAGCAACAGTTTTCCTTGCGCCGTTATTTTACCCTAAAAGAATGATTTATACTAGGTAGAATAAAAGAGTCGCGGAAAGGACAACACTCACGTCGAAACCTTGTAATCTGCCGACGTCCATCATGTCGTTTGCAGCTTTAGGAATAACTCGCATGACATGAGCCGCCGCTCTGAGGCCTTCGATTTCCGATAACCTTTGAGTTCGTTCAGTGAGGCGCAGTGCCTCCCGTAGAAGAAGTTGATATTTTGTAATCCTTTGTACAGGCTTGATCAGTAAGTCGCAAAGTTGGAGACGATGTCCGAGTTTTTGCCTAAGTTCCTATAATACAACAATGGCTGTATGTTTTCCGTCTTATGGTACAGCCGTTTATCGATTTACTGATTACCTCGAAGTAAGTATCTATATATTCGGAGACAATGTATTCCGAAACGGGCTTATTCTGACAATAAACCACGTACATGTGTAACTTTCGCTCGTAACGTTTAAAGAGAGGTCCGAGTTCCTCGGGACGTTCCAAACAACGTTCCAAAGCTTTGAGGAAAAAGCTAGAAGCAGGAAAAAGGCGCGAGTGACGACAAACACAAGTGTGTGATTATGGCGAAGAAAGGCGTGACTCACTCTCTATGCCACTCGTAGATGGCTTCTATATTACCGAAAACCATTTTATCTTTCCCACCGCGCAGATCCTCCGGCAAGGGGATCTCGCTGTCGGGATTTCGCATTAGTGCCATGTAACCGTCGACTATCTGCTTCAAGTCGTTCACGTAGTCTCTCTCGGTGTCGACCAGCTCGCGAATAACGAATTGCCGCTTGGCGATCGTGGTACTCTCCGGGTCTGACTCCTCGAGAACGGCCGCCGGATTGTTGGTGGGATAGTCCTCTTCGCTGCTCAACGATTTCCCGTTCGGGGTTCGCATATGCCTTTCCTGATTCTCCGTGTGTTGTTCCTGCGAACGATACACTCGCGTAATGCGCGCGATCTTGTACGCGAACCGTCGCGGACTCACCATTTTCTCCTTGACGATTTGCTCGATCTCCGAAAGGTGGTCAGCCGTGGTGGCGCCATCGAGGATCGTCTTGGCGGAACGTTCGACAGTCTGTGGGAAGGAAATCATGATCATCGTGATCTGCGAGCAAAGCGAGAAGGCGATCAATGCTCACTCGTTTCCCGGACAGTTCATTCGGTATCGTCGATCCCGACGGGCCGTTGGCGGTAGTCACGAGTATCGGCTCCGTCGTTATAGGCTTCATCGGCGGTGGCAGTTCCAAGTCGTCATCGGCGTCCTCGCCGCCGTTCTGCTCCTGCAGCGAGCCTATCGCCGCGGTGTCCTCGCTCTCCGCCACGTCCACCTCGATCTCTTGCTCCTCTTCCTCTCTGTCGACCTCTTCCTCCTCCTCCTCCTCCTCCTCGCCTTCTTGGGCTTCGGCCTCGTAGATCGCCTTACCGGGCCGATTATGCTCGGCGCCGCTCGGCAATTTAAAGCGTTTGTCGCTTTTCTTCAAAGAGGGCCCAATCAAAGGAGACGATGACGTCGGCGGCACCGTCGTATTGGTTTTCTCCACTTTACCTTGGCTGAGTTTACGTAAAGGCGGTGGGAGCCACTTCCGTCTATAAACAGAAACACCGTCGCTACGGTACGTGATTATCGCAGTGACATTTTCCAGATAAACACACTCTTTCTAAAATGCTCACCCGCTGAAACCTCGCCTCTTGTTGCCGGGTGAATTAGCCGATCCGTCGGCTGTATCTGTATGTGTTTAAAAGTGCCATTATTATTCCGCCTTGAAATAATCGCCGCGCTACTAATTTTAATATCGCGACGAGAAAGAATGAAAGCTCACCCGCGTCCTCCGACAACATCGGCGTCAGCACCGCGGACGACAGCGCGGTCGTTTGCGTGACCGCCGCCGCCGCCGCGGTGCTCGTCGGCTGTAACGTAACAGCACTCGGCGATGTAACGGCAGTTTGTGCTTGGACGATCGCCTGATTAATCTGATGGTACGGATGATGATGATGGTGATGATGCGACGACTGTTGTTGTTGTGGTTGCTGCTGCGTGGACGCTTTTCTGGACGGCGAGGTTTTGCAAGAGGCGGTCGGTGGTTGTTTCAGCGCGCTGGTGGGCACCAGACCCTCCGCGGGAGGTTCCGCTTGTCCAGGAGTGAGCGGCAAACGTACCAGCGTCCATTCGGGGACTGTGTTGGTACTGCCGTTCTCCAACACCTCGACCTGCTGGCCCTTCGTCACGCTGAGCTCCTTCGAGCCAGGCGCCGCCAAATGATCAGCGACCACCCATGTCATTTCGACCACTCCGGTCTGGAAAGCAAAGCGGAAACGCTTTCCTTCTTCGATGCACAATCAATGTGTGTGTGAAAATGTAAGGTGGACCGAAAGCAGAGAGGTAAAGGAAGAGAGCTGCCCTCTCGTGCTTACGCAAGCGTAGATGGGNACGCGGCCAATTGTCTTTGAATTTGCGGATCGACGGAGCGAAGATCCAGCGAATTATTGACGCCCGAGTGATCGTCGTATCACACAGTGTTGAGCGCGTGCGCGCATCTGCAACGCAGCACATTCTCTCGCTCGCGAATTCCGGCGTTTTGAAAATAGCTAATGTCACAACACGATGGTACTTTGACGTTACTATAAATATCGGGAGTACATTATGTGTGTGTGTGTGTGTGTGTATATCCTCGCAGCCGTAAACGCGCAATTGTTCGTCGCTTATTCTCGCTCGATTTTCGCACATTCCGCGGTGACCCGAAATAGAATTTTCCATGTGCCAAATGTTCGACGGTATCGCATCGTGAAAACTAGGTGGGGAAGAAGAGGCGATAAAGAAGAGCGGCGGGACAGATTACGTTATCGCGATATAATATTTCCCACGATAGTTGCATTCTTTCGCGAGCTGCGCTAGTTTAAGAAATTTACACGAAATTCTCACGTATCGGTAAATGTGGTCAGACATCCGCTTTATAATCTCTCTCTCTCTCTCTCTATATATATATATAAAATTCATGACTTATCGTTGCGATAAGATTCAACTGTTGTGAATCCACAGCAATGTTTCGCTCTTTGGAAGAAAAATGTCACTTCACTCGGTTGATTTCTCGGAAAACTTTCCGTGATTTGGATCTCATTCGATTTTAATGACGGATGGTACCTGGGTGAGAGAGGGTTGACGGCGCAGAAGTCGCGCCTGGAACGAGCTCGGCGTATCGATGGTGTGTTGTCTGGAGAGGGTTGCATGCGGCGGTGTCGCGGAGCCCTGGCGGAACCAAGGCAACGAGATCTTACGGCGCGCCTTCTGGGCGATCGTCGCCGGTTTTCCGGCCGGTGACGTCATGGCAATTTGCCTCTCTGCAACGCTATTTCACACGCGCGAAGACAGGGAGGAGGAATGATGTGGAGACTTCACGGAGGGTGCGATGCGCAGCGCTGTATCAGCCATCGCGATGGTGGCTGCTCGTTCTCTCCTTCTCTCACTCCGTTAAGAAGGTCAGAGCGACTCTACGCGACCACCAGCGGTGGATCCCCTCGAGCGGATCCACCCGACACGAAAGTCGCACCCGTACTGATCGCTACCGACCGACCGAGTGACGAGAGATTATAACTAACCCAACCCAACTCGCGCCCCACCCTGCGCGGCTTCCTACCCTGTCGCAGGGGGCGCGAGAAATCTACTCGATCCTCCTTCTATGAAAGTGCTCTCGAGGCGAAACTTTTACCAGCAGCTCTTCGAGCGCAAGGAGAATGTGTGATTTTCTCACGGAATTACGATTACAAATTTTGCCTTAAGATTCAGAGAACTTGACGTTAAATTTTGAAATTTACTGCGATCTCAGTCACTATTTTTCATCATTCATTTAATCAGAGTGATTCGATAAAAGTTGCCCTAAGATGATTGAATCTACGCGATCGAAAAAATCGAAAGTAAATCAATTAAAATATACCACCACTTCTCTTGGCAGAATTTAGTAGCGTGAAATTTCTTTCTGCATTAATCGAATTCTGCAAGAGCAGAAATCATTCGCAGTTTTGATGTTTGAGAAACATGGTAAAAAAAAAAACTCGTGAAATTGTTTCCAAACATACATAATATGCGAACCGTGCGAAGTTTTGATGGTGAGAAAATAGTTTACCTTATCCGAATCAGTGGTGTTGGTTGAGCCGAAGGAAGCCAGTGAATTCCTATCGAGATTCTCCACACTGTCGTCCAAGGACGCGCATTCCTCCAAGTCTCTGCTCGAGCGTTGGCTGGAGCTCTTCTTGGCCGGGCTCTTCGGCATACTCAGGCTGAAATAGGTTTCCTGTATTACTTCGCGCAACCTTTTCACCCACAACTGTTTCGCGTCCATCGAATTTGCGCGCAGCACTACGCGAGTGTCGCTGGTTGGCGCTCGTCCCGTCCACACCGCGAACTTGCATTCATCGCCTTCGATATGCTCGGTCACACCCAACTCGGAAGTCATCAGACGATTTTTATAAATATATTTTACCTAAGTACAAAGAGAAAGAGAGAGAGAGAGATCAACAATGGTATGATCGCCCGACAAACAAACTATAGCGTAATATTGATAGATATTCAACCAAAGTAAGAAAGATGGGCCAACAAGAGTCGATCTCGCAATTAGATAATTTCAACTTAAGCGAGAAGAATGAGCAGAGAGAATTGTTTGATGCACGAGTTAAGAAGAGGTTGTAAATTTCTTTTCATTCAACGTGCATCACAAATTATTGAGAAAATACGTCAGTGACGCAATGATCTCTCGCACGAACCTTCCCGGCAGAATCCTTCACTTCCTTACTGAAGAGGAGGTATAACTCGAAAAGAAATATATGACGATCTCTCCCCTTTCGGATCAACTGTTTTGGGTCCCATACTGTAAAGGAATCTTGCAATACAACATCGCCGAGTGTATCTATCCTAACGTCGCAACCTTCCAGTAGACTTAAATGTAAGGCATCGTTAGCTTTTTTAGGCACATTTAACATCACCTCTAATCCATCCTTTATCTCGCCCTGTCCCTCTTGGCAACAAGCCTGAAAACAACGGGAAATTTTGCACAATTTGCTCGAGATACTTTCGGTTACAAGAGATTTATAGTATACCTGTAAGTCCTTAAGTAGCAGCTGATATTTCGTAATTCTTTGTACAGGTTTGATTAGATATGCAGCGATAGGATGTTCCACTCTATGCTTTCTCTGCAATTCTTCAAACCACGTCCCACCGTGTGTTACTAACAGCTGATTACTCTCGGGCTTGTTTTTACAATAAGTTACGTACATGTCGAATTTGGGTGCCTTAAAACAAAGCGTATTGTATAAAAACAAATGAAAACGAACGAAAGCGGGTTGAGATAATTATGAAACGCTACCTTCTAATAATGATGAAAAAATAATTTTACAACAATATCAGTGTCGTCGAAAATAATTGTTTTTTCTTTAAATATGTAAACAATAGTTGTAAAACTCTCATTTAAAAGTGATGAACATGAGATGTATTTAACAAATGATTCAATTGCATAGAATTGTACCAATCGAGAATATGCATCTTGGTTGGTGGGAATCAACGTAGATTTTGTACGAGATTGTTCCTATAAATACGGTCTGTGTATCGAGAGATCCGTTCGTTGTTTAATTGTTTCTTCAAGAGTCGATTTCACCTCAACCGATGGTAAATAAATAAATCGATGGTAGAGGAGTGGAAGGTTCCTAACGATTTCTTTGAGCAAAATCGACGCACACTCACCCACGTGACGAAACAATGTCCCACGTCTTCCGGCATAGTCTCGTATTTCTCCAACTCGCGTAGAAAGACGTTGCTGTGAAACTGATGTATCTCCTCTATGTTGCTAAAGATGATCGATTCCCGGCTCAGCAGACCAGGCGGAACGTTTCCCTTGCCGCATCGCGTCTCGTCGAGGAAACAACGGATACAGGTTTCCAGGTCCTTGACGTAGGTGCGCTCGGTTTGCAAGAGTTCGGCCATGATGAACTCCTTTCTGCGCGCGGACCTCCTCTTCTCCTCGTTCAGCTCTTTCAGATCTTTACCCTTGATCTTCTCCTCGAGCAACGGATCCGAATTACGATCGATAGAGAGCTCTCGGTGGCCCTCCTGGTCGGATTGTATGCCGAGATCGGCCTCGATTTGCGTCTTGTAGCAGTCCATTCGCGCGCTAAAGTCTTTGTATCGCTGATCGACCTCGGCGACGAACTGCTTGATCGCCGCGGAGTGAGCATGACCCTTGTCGACCAAATTGTCGGCCAGCTGTATGATCAGCTTGACCTTCTCCCTGGTCTCTCTCGCGGCACCTTTGAACTCGTTGTGTTCCCGCAGCAACTGTTCGTTCTCGACGCGATTCTTGCCGACGTTGGTGTGCGTCGAGAGATACAACTCCCCGGTCTCCCTGATCCACTCGAGCGCCTGTTTCGCGCTACGCTCGAACAAAACGTACTGCTGGCAATGATCCAGACGCTTCTTGCGCTGAGTCCAATACTCGAGCACCTTGTTCTCCTTGCTGAGCAACTCCTCCAGGATATTTTTCACCTTGTTCTCGGAACCGGCGCTGTTCGCCTGGTAACTGTAAAACTGCAGGCTACGATTGGTGTATTTGAGGAAGGTCTCCGCGGTGCGGCGCACGAGCGTGCACGCCTTGAGGAAGGCCTCCTTCTGCTCCTGATGCTTGCCGAGCAACGTCGGCACCTGGGCGCCCTTCTCACCGGCGACGCACCAATCCTCGTCCCTCTTGTACTCGCGCTCCAAACTGTCGAGCACCGAGCGCACCTGCTCCGCCGTCTTGTAGAAGTTAATACTGGCGGTGACCAATTTGTGCCGTTCCTCCGCACAGGTGACCAGCTGCTGCCACCGTTTGGTGACGTCCTCCGCCACCTCCCTGATGCTCTTCGGATCGTAATGATTCGCGCTCACCAGAGCGTCCGCTCTGTGCTTCACCTGCACCGCAGAAGTGTGAGTCTTCTCTATCGCGACCTGGAACTGGTCGTGCTCGAGTCGCAGCTGCTCGGCGTCCTGGAGATTCTCCGGGACCCTCAGCGAGGCCAGCAGCATCGACTCGCCGTTCCGTATCCACTTGGCCACGTGGGAGGCGTCGGTCTGCAGCTGCAGCAATTGCGAGGCCTGCTCCAGCCGCACCCGTCGCATCTCCGCGAGATCCTCCGCGTCCAGCTCCCTCTCGTTGAGAAACTCGAGCAGCACCTGCACCCGCGCCGCCGCGCTGTGCTGACCGTCCGCCATTATGCACACCCCCGCTTCCTCGAGGACCTGGGCCAGTTCTCGGCCGCGGTGCAGCACTTGGAACGCCGTGTTCTGCATGTGGGCGACCCCGTCGTTGTGGACGCGCAGCAGCTGCTCGGGCGAGCCTTCGCGCGGCGGGCCCTGCAACTCCTGCGCCCACATCTCCAGCTGGCCGCTCGCCTCGAGCGCGTCCCGCTCGAACACGCGCAAACGCAGGCACAGCTCCAGCCGGAGCTTCCTGGTGGCCCAGAGTTCCTCCAGCTCCTGCCTCAGACCCGCCAGTCGGTCCAAGGCCGTCTCGATCGCCGACACGGACCCGGTGCTGTCCGGAGCGTCGGTGGCCTCGCGAAGCTCCTGCAGCAGAGCCTCGCCCTGGGCTATCGTCGAGGCGCACGCCTCCAGGCAGGACGATCGGTGTTGCGCGCATTGCTCCAGCAGTCTCTCAGCCGTTTCCAGATTTTCCGCCACCTCGTCCTGCTGCAGCTCCTGACGCAACTCGTCCACCCATCCGGTCAGCTGAAATGTCAGCACGGATGTGTAAGAATGTTCACACTGGTTGCACTTGATAAATACCTCTTTCTCGTGAGTGTAAAATACCACTGCCAGATCTAATCGGCGACGTCGCTGCTCGACCCTCGCCGCGAAACTGCTTACGTGAGCTTCCAATTCTTGCGCCACCGCGTATATCTCGTCGGGCGCGCACTCTCCTGTGTGAGCGAGCTCTTCCGCCGCGGTCAGAAGCTTCGTCGCGTTCGTGTACGTGTTCTATCAACCGGAAATACATCCGTTCCAACTTACTTCCATACGTTCGAACTTATATACCGTACCTGTGCAACATTCTCGAAATGTTCGTGGCTTTTCTGGTAGACTCGTGCTTTCTGCAGATTACGACCTACGCCTGTATTTTTTCTGATAAAGACCTCGCCGTGGTTCGTCAGCCAATCGAGAACCTGTTTCACATCTTCTTGGAACAGTCTAGGAATTATAAATACATATTTCGTCGGCATGATGTGACGCTAGATGGATTCTTTCCATACTACCTCAACGCGAGCCGTTGATGTAGCTTGACTTTTCGGGCGTGCCAGCGAGCCTCCAGCGCCCTGTGATGACCAAGAATCTGATGAATAACAGCTAAAACATGAGATGCGCCTTCGCTGTAATCGGCCGCCGGATTGCCGCTTGTGCCGCTATGACTGTCAATATTGTGTCCATCTTGACTCTGTACAGATCAGGATGTATTACATGATACAAATTATTCCAGATTTAGAGCTAGCTAAATAATACTGCATGCATTCCGACGATCGATATTCCGACGAATACTATTTCAATGAGTTTCACACAAACCAGATATAATATGGTTATAGCGTAAGCAAGCACACATTTTATTATTTTATCCCCGCCGAGTAAGCTTTGTTTCCCATGCAACAAGTACGACGGGAGATAGAAGAAGAGGTATGATTAATAATAGGAAGTGGTTGAAATTAGGCTCCTATTATTTCTCTGAATTGCGAGAATTCGCTGAAATCTTGAAAATTAAACACAGAAAGTGTGAACACAGGGAGGAATTTAATAACGTAAAAACAAAACGATAATAATTGTTCCTGTATACACCAATTAACGTACATGTTTTCTGGCGACATGGTCAATTCCTTGCGGTTGATTACAGACTTGCACAAGATGATCCAGTTGATAAAGAAGCTTCTTACTGGTACTATGCACCTAAATAAGAATTTTACCCAATCCCGCTTAAGAAACAATAATATACAACATCCATTTTTTTTTTCTTTTCGAGTATGTGGATTTAAATTGCGATGTGACAGAATGTGATACATAACAACTTGAATTTTCGGTCGAATTCAAAATAAGAGCAGGATGAAGATAAAGAAAAAAATATCGATAACGCGGGCGGGCGCGTACGTCAATGCGCAACAAAATTTTCTCGAGAGTATTGACAAGGAAAAAGAAAGATAGAACTGTGCCTCTCACCGATTCAAACAATTTTGACGGGCTTCGGTTATGTTTTATAAAGTAATGCTCGGAATTAGACGCCCTTTTCGATTTCAGAGGCGACGCCTGGGATTACCCCGTTCCAGGCGGTCAAGCTGTTGATCAGGAGCATCTCTCCACATACACATCTTCCGCCAAATTGTCATATTTTCTTTGCAAAGCAATTGTTATTTTTGTAAATGAATAAACATAAAATTTTCCCTCAGTACATATATATAGGGTGTACCATTTAAGTTGACACAACGAAATATCCCAAAGACAACAAATTAGAAAAAAAAAAGCTGAAACACGTGTTCCATGATTTTAAGGGGCAATCAAAATTATTAGCTTTTTTTTAATGCATAGACATTTTCAAGGTTAACTTTTTTTTTTTTTTTTAGCGGAAACCTATATTTTTGTTTGCGGAACTTTATTCTACGTAAAAAACAACTTACGACCGAAAAATATTACAACGTAAAGAAACCGGAAACGGGAAAGGGATCACATCGAAAGATAGGAATATTTGTTGTTGCTTTACAAGAAATATCCAACAAAGCCCGTCAAAATCGGTGAAGAACAGTTTCTGTTTCCTTCTTTGTGAGACGCCTCAGCTATAACGAGCAAATTATATTGTATGTTAATTATATTGCAGAAAATTTGCGGATAGATATCATTTCCAGTAGCACCCAAGTACCAAGCGAGTAATGGATATCCATCGCCTATAGAAGCTTTAAGAGAATTTTTTTCGTACATAATTGACGCGAAATGTGTCCGACCCTGAGGCATGGGCGCTCACATTATGACATACTTGCAGCATTGAACCCAGGCCACTCAATAATGCCTGATACGCATTGTAAACCTGTCAAATATCAAATGAATTTACAAATACAGAGCACATGAGAAAATAACAATGAAACGAAGAATCGGTTTGATTAATACAAGTAACGACAGTCTTATCTATCGAGCCGTTCGGTGGTTGTCGGTAGAGACGACGATCAGACGATGTACGCTCACTCAGTGCAAAGAAAGAATGGGGAAATTACCTCGGTGTACGCCTGACACATCGCTTCGTAGAGAGTCTGGTGCTGGCGAATGTGAGACTCGAGCACCGGGATTTCACTGGGCAGATTGCTAGTGTCGCACGCCTGGCTCCAACCGGCGACATTGTCGACATACTGTTCCGCCTTGTGATGAAACACGACGCTTAAACTAAGTACCGCGGTGCGCTCGTCGAGGCCGGCGGCGAATTCCTTCCAAGCTCGATCGAGACGGCCCGCCACCGCCCGCACGTGCCCGGCCGCGTAATGCTGCGTCTCCAGCAATCTGCCGGCCATCGTCAGGATCTTATTTATGTTCACGTAAACATTCATCGAACTCATCGTGAAGTGTTTGTGCTCCTCCTGCAGATTCTTCGCCAGCTGATACGAGCGGCCGATCTCTACGTAACTCGCGAGGAACACCTCGCGATTGTGGCAGATCCAGTCGAACATCTTCTCGCAGTCCTGCTCGAACAGCCGCAGCTGAAAACACTGGTCCAACTTCATCTTCTTGATGTGCCACAATTGCAGGAGATGCTGTTGCGCGGCGTGCACCGAGTCCAAATGCTGAATAACGAGTGTGGCCAGAGCCCGTCCGTCAGGATCCGTGCAACTCGCCGCGCCATTGTCGATACTCCCTCCTTCTCCGGCAGTCGCTGTTGCACCTGTTGTTACGACGATATATATATATTAAATCACACATTCGCGAGAAAGATATATTTCTTCAAAAACAATATTTATACAAGCGGTATTTGCTTCATGCCAGCTCAAAAATCCGTATTTCATGAGAAAGAGGTGCTAACCGCTGTTGAATCGCTGAAGCAGACGTTGACCGACAACTTCGATGTCCTCCACTGGGACTTTCATGATCTTCTTCTTCATTTCATTGTGCAGATCAATGCCATGTTTAGCTCCCGCGACGTCGTCGGCAAAGTCGTTCCGACTAAGATCCTCCTGCAGGTCGTCTAATCGATCGAGGAGATCGGCCGCTTGCCATGTAAAATCTTCTACAACTAATCTCGTGTCGATCCATTGAGCATGATCGTACTGTAAGGATCCGTCCAAGTCCGCGGTGAGTTGAGAAGGGTCGATAACCTTTACGAGAGCTTCTAAACTGATTGTGTTGATCTGAAATTAATGTATTTTAAATCAGTCAAACATCCTTGCAAACTTGAAAAACACTCTGTCAAACAATAGGAAGACAATGCACCTACTTCAAAATTATATTTCTTCTGCTTAGCCAATGAGGTTCTCTGTTTCTGCCAAAAGTTTTCCGGTTTGATCAGAAAGGCAACATGGACCGTCCGGTGAAAATGCTCGTGTAATACCTGCAGATGACACATCTTTGTCAATAATCTTATAATGGATGGGAAAAAAGCAATTTCACAAACAATATTTAGAAAGGGTTGTAACCTTCAAGATAGGTTTGATAGAGTCCCATGTAGTACCGCGCATATCCACAATTACGGTAAAACGTAGGCCCCTGGCTTCATCGCTCGGAATAGCGAACAAATACTGCAAGAGACGTCTGTAATCCTCGGGTTTCGCACGTTCGCGCCTCGGTGTACTAGGGAATAGCAGTACAGGGCCTCCTCTGCGATCTCGTCCACCCGGTAGTATCGCCAGACGTTCTTGCAACAACGGCAATACTTCTGCCGCACGTGTGCCGTCCATTGTCCTTGCTTAAACTGTCATGGCCTGTTTTCATCCAGACAAAATAACACCATGTATGCACGCAACATCGAGCTGGTGTATCTCAAACTGAATCATCGCCTCGATACAAATAGACGCGAGGATTGGCGTCTCGAAGAAAGAAGTGAACCAATACACTTTTTGTCGCGTCCAAGGAACTCGTCGGCGATTTCGCACGAGAACCGTTGTTTGTTTGAGAATACTCCAACACGTTCGAACAACAGCAAGTGATCGCTCATCCCTCTCCGAAATCGCAAACTGTTACCGAACACTCGCGAAATCGCGCGAGGATAAAACTTCGCAGGCAAATCGAACAATCAATCGTTACTCCCCCTCCCCTCAACCCGATGTGGCGGCTGTCACAGATATACCCTTCGCTCGGCGAGTGTTTTCACTGACGATCGCAGTCTCGGATGCGAACATAATCGCGACGTGTCATTATCCTCCCACGTCGCGCTTCATCGGATACATGAAGGGAATCTACGAGTTCCGTTGATGTGCGAGCGAATCTGCGGAGCGAGAATCTATAAGAGCGGCTCACCTGCGGGAAGCTCATTCGCGGCGATGCCGGCGTCTTTGTTCTTCCTTGCAAATTCCTCCTCCGAAACGAGACCGACTTATCACTCATATTGTCGTGTCATCGGCACTAAAACCCCGGACGCCCGTCACCTAAGTCGGATATCACCGTTGCCATGTTCGGCTGACAAGTTTTCAACAGCTTCGCCGATGCACCGACCGAGAGGACAGCACAAGTCGCACAAGGTATTATAGGACCTTGAGGTGAGTTTGTCTCGCGTATTTGCGGTAATACGCGGCGTTCTCATCTGACCGTCGTCGGAGTTCGCTTCCAATTGGACGATCTAATCGATTAGGTGGGCCGTTGTATCATTGGTGAAGCGTTCAACCAATCTGGAGCTCGCGATATCATACCGACGAATCCACGTGGTCTGTTCTTTTTAGTTGAACAGGCTGTTCGAGAAATTTATGTACATACACTGAATGGCGTACGTATGAAATTCTTCAGTGTACATTTTTTGAACTAGTGCAATAAGTTCAACTAAAAAGAACGGATTAACGAGGGATCAATATGGCGACATACGAAGTGGATTTTTTAAATTTGAATTTTCTTTCCGTCAAGAAGCGTTATTATGTAATTTGAGTGAAATTTGCGATTCATTAATAATACTATCAATATTTATAATCAGACTTTGTATTTAAGATTATCTTAATTTCATCTTAGATGGACTACATAAGGTGACCTTTATGCAATATCTTGAGATGAATTTAAAACAATAAATAAAATTATATCTTTCTTAAAATTAGTTTTATTTTTAATGTAAATAAATAAAACAAAATAAATTCTTTTATTATTAAATCTTATATTTATCTTTGTTTTTATACAGGCCCATATTCTGAACTCACTTTTATCGATAAAAGTGCCTTAAATGTGGTTTCTTAACCAATTAAGTGGTTCCTACGTCACTTTTAGAAGCATTTTTATCGATAAAAGTAAGTTCAGAATATACCCCACACGGCACACTTTATCTGAGAGACGTCCTACAGATATCATTATGAGATATCGCCATAATAACCATAAGATATCCTTAGATAGTTGGATGTTGATATCTTACGGATATCTTAACCAAAAGATATCCGAGGAAACCCAAGAAATATCGTAAGATACATTATTATATACTCAGGTAGCTGACAAATACATGTCATATGCTGGTCATTTTTTAGTTACTGAACGTCATTTGTACTAATATATTGAATATTCGAATAGTAATATTCCCCAGCGAGAAGTGACTCATCGAATCGACGTTGATTTGATCTACATTTTGAGCGTCAAAAGTACATCATTATATAAAACAAAGAGATATGGCGTTTAAATATTGTGAGAAATTTCTTCGATAATTTGGGATATCCTCACAATAAAGTATACTGTGTTATTTCACTGTGTGTTTTTATGACAACGATACGCGTTCATCGTCCGTTAAAATGTCATTTATGCCATTGCACCATTTAGAAATAAAAAGCACCACCATATACGATATCAGAAGTTTTTTCAGCACATTATGGTGCTGTTGACAGTTGAGCCAATGTAAATCCATTAACGTATACAGTTCGATTTCTAACATCAGCGCCGTATGATGTAGATAACATACGTTACTCATTATCTGCGCCAGTATAACATCAGCATCCTCGAAAGTCTTCAACAAACGTTCGCTGGGGACCAACTCGGACTTTGTCGGATCCGAGATAAGATTTCTACATATTTGGCATTCTTTAACATGCGAACTTCTCATGATTCTCCTCGCTATAGAACTGCAGATATCATCATAATTTTGTATTTTATCTGACAGCTTGGTCTTCGTCTCCAAGTCTGACAAATTTTGCGTTAAACCATCATCATTGCTCGCATGTTTGGCTCTGCAACGGATGAACTCTTTTAACGTGAACAACAGCGGCCCGTCTGTTTTATTCTCACTGTTACTTCCCACAATACAACGTGACTTTAAATTGTTGAGTAGTAACGTCTTGAAGGAGCTCTCAAATTCCGAACACGTGGGCTTGGCGTTCCTCTCGCCAAGGGATCTGATTTGTCCGAAGAAATGCACGAGCGAATCCTGATTCAAGATTCGCGGCCTGAAGTGCTTGAACTTGTACTTTTTTAGAATTTTCCACAATTTACGGAATCCCTGTAAAGTGGATATCCAGTTTCTCAGGACGATCGATTCTTTCAACGGTTTCTTGTCTACGGGATCAACAAATCGCATCCTGCGTAGTCTTTTTATCGCTTTCTGCCAAAATGACAAATGCGGGCTATTGTCTGAAACAGCGACTCTCAGCGGTTTCTCTGGTTTCAAGGTATGTCCGTTTACAGAGTCGAACAATCGATCAAAAAATAATATCATTTCTGCTGTGTCGAGACCTTCCTTTTCCGGCATTTTTAATGGTCCGTAAATTGTATTTACATGTCCTAGGTGTGAAGAATTGAAGAAATCAATAAGATTAATAATTGCTAACCATTTACAAATAACACATTACGAACCGTATACATAAATCTGTCGTTAAAATTTAAGTAAATTCATGTATATACACAGAATTTGTGCAACCTTGCTGCAATATAATTGCAATGATTTGTGCTGTATGAGCATCTATACATGAATATTTTCAATAATTAATCATTCAAAATATTGTTTGCAAAATGGTAGAGGATTTTCTTGCTCAATTCAATCCGTTCTATGCCCTCACAAAGTTTGTCGGGACACCCTGTATATATAACATAAAAAAGTTACGTATATATTTCCTCTTATCATATATATATATATATATATATATANTATATATATATATATATATATTAGTTAATTGAAACATATTTTGCAAAATTTTACTACACGTTGGAGAATGCTTTCAAAAAGTAAAAAAGTATTTTAAACTCTTTGTATCTTTTAATAAGATACTGTCGTTACTTCTTTCGTTTATATTTGATTGTTACAAGTACAAAATTGAAAAAAGTTATTATTATGCTTTCTTGAGTTTTCAAAAATTGTTTTTTTTTTTATTTTTTACTTATTTTAAAATGTTACCAGATTCCGGAAGAAATTTTTAAAGAAAGAATAGTGGTTCGTAACATGTTAATCACTTTACGGGTATTCATAACTTCGTACAAATGTATACCTTTCAACTTGGTATGATGATGTATGAAACCACCCATCGTCATACTTAAAACTTGCGTAACATTTTTAACTTTTTTAATGTTCATCTTACTCTTTATTACATGCTCCATAGTGATTTTCGGCATTAATCGATATACGTTGTGAGTTAGATCCATACGATATGCTTGCTCGATAATCCGCCACGACGCAAATTTTCGCTCTTCTCTCTCCGCACAATCAAATTCTAGATTATAGTTTAATAAATTGTTACGTACACCTTTGATGAGAGTCGGCGGATCATACAATGGAATTATAGTTTGGTTTTTTATTGTTATATTACCGTCTAGAAAAATGCAAAGCAATACATTTTTGACTAACTTCACTCCTACTCAGCAGCTATGTTTAAGATAAAAGTAATTGTAAATTCTGACGTAGTCACTCATTACAAAATGCACTTACAACAGCGTTCCCCTCGTCGTAACTTCCGTCTTGCCGACTCGAATTTCAGTTTATTCACAGCCGCCAGATTTCTCTTTCCATTTTTGCATACAAAAGCTACTAAGTATAATCCACTGTCAATTATAATTTTGGAAATAGTTTTGATCGATTTTGCAAGCTGATCAATTTGTGTAGCACCATCGCAGAGATAATATGCCAGTGGAAACTTCCATCCATTTTGTATGCCGCGCACCATAAAAACCATCGCATGATCAGCAAATCGTGCATTCCTCCTGCCCCCAAAGTCTTCGAAACCAACAATGTGCTTCTTTTTTGCATCATAATCCAAGTGAGGTTGTAATAATATTTCGTCCCACATTAAAAGACATAATTTATCTTTCTGTTTCATCACTTTTACTTGTTCTTTTAAGCGTCGATTTATAAAATTGATTGGACCAGGATGAATGTTAATTTTCTGAAGTATGGACCGTAACGTATGTGTACTGGGCAGATCAAAAACTTGTGTTAGGCATTCGTAACATTTACTGAATTGTTTCATGATAGACAAAGCTGCAATCTTCTCATCTAATGTGAAATATCTATCCTATAAACAGAATAAGATTGATTTATCAAACATCTTAATTTTTATGGTGGCACGGTATATCATTTCTCATGTACATGCCTTAGGTGAATATTTGGTTTTTATCTGCATTTGAACAAATGTTCGTTGAGTAGGTGTTAGCAAATACAATAATTTTTTTATAGCAGGACTTTTGCTATATTGATTGGCTTGTCTTATACGCTGACGGAATGACAACTGCTTCCTTGATACAGCTTCTTGTTTCCTTGTCAATATATAGGCAATTTTATATAACTTCCACATTTTTGGCGTAAAACGATGAAAGCATTTCATATGTTTATCGTATAATGTTGGATCTTTTGGTGAAGAAAGTCCTGTCTTTGATGAATTTTCATTCGTTAGGTTAATAGTAATGTTTGGTACTTTTGACATAATTTGTTTATATCCTGCTGTTTTCATTTCTGTGATAGAAACATTTACAGCTGGGGTGCACACAATTTCTGTCTTAGAATTTTCCACTGTCAAATCTGCCTTTGAATTGTCATTATTGTTATCGTTATCTGGCAAAAATAATGATGGTACAACATCAGGTTTTAATCTTCGCAATCTATATATTGAATCATAATCATTATCCGCAAAATGTCTATAACATACGACACACTTTTTTATTTGCTCCTCGGTCAGATGCTTAATTTTCACTGAATAAACAGCAGTCTTCCACTTATTTGCCATAATTTCATTCTTGGGGAATGAGTGGAAGGGTAAATGAATCCCTGAGGAACATCCCAAAACACAACATTGTCTACCCATAACCTGAAATAATAAAATTACTATTATAAACATTTAACTTTTCAATATATTTATTTTTCCCTGTATTTCCACATAATAACTGTACTGACTACTGTTATAGATGACAATTATACACTGTTTTTACGACTGCTGCAATTTTAATTTTTTACCTTGGATGTTTACTAATTAATTTTCTCTCTCTCTCTTTCCTTCAATATGGTTATAGGCAACTTAAAGAATATATTACCCCCAACATCATTAGGGAAAATTCACAGCTTGATAGGAAAGGAGGTAGTAGAAGAACAGCAACCAATCAGAACTCGCGCTGGTGGTCGATAATCACAGTCGATTATTTGCCTCACATTCGACTCTGATTGATCAATTTCTTAAGGCTTAGAGCTTAAATTCTCATTGTGGACTCCGCATAATAAGTGCCCTGATTTGACTTTTTCGAATAAAAATCTTAAACCGCAATGGCTAAAGCATTAAGCACTCTGCTGAGAACAATACAAAATAATTGGAAGAAATCGTTGTTCGGAACTGCAGCTCTTTCGTATGGAATTTTATATGGCAAAGAAGTATATATATATATATATATATTGGATCTCAGGCATCTTAGACTGCCGCATATTTTACAGGTTTCAAGATTACTATTACGTTTTCCAGGAGGAACTAAAAAATAAAATTATACGCCGTAAGAAACTTACTGTATGTCATTTCTCGCCTATAACGTCACAAAAGCAGTTTAACTGCCCGGAATAGCCGAACTTTAATAACAAATCTTAGAAATTTTATTGATTTTATTTCAGAAGGATAAAGATCGGATGTTTTACATCGACCATGAAGAATACGATTTGAAGCCAATTCAAATTAGATTACTTCCACAATCTATAACAATGTTTAGTCCCGAAAATAGTAAAGACGAATAAAAAGAAGCAAATGAGCGCAACTTATTTCGCGACATTTAACGTTCACATCGCGATGTTTGGGTTAAACATTTTTGTCGTCTAAACACGACATAGGAAAGAACAAAGTTGTGTATGAGCCTAGGTATATAAAAAAATATTTTTATAATTTAATTAAATATAATTACACACACACACACACACACACATATATATACACGTTTTTTATAAAAAAAAAAGGGTAATTTATTGTATAAAAAATATTTTAATTATAATCGTCAACTTACATTAAATTTAAGATAAAGATTTGTGTATTATTTGCATTAGAAATTTGATTTTGCATCAGATTACACTTAATCAAATCTGTTTTCCATAAATCTTGGTTTCAGAAAGTTGCAAGGTACATATAGCAAGTGATACTAAGTTTTAATATTTTGTTTTGAACTTTTTATCACGTTGTAAATCAGACCATAGGAATTTTCTTATCACTCTTTAACCATTTTCATAAGCTCTACTAATCTTATGATAAAATATCAATATAATTAATGGAATCAAAAGGACCTACTTGAGTATGAATTGATTAAGATGTGTTCATTGTCGTATAACTACAGAGCGCTTAATCTCGATCTATAGTAGATGTAATAAGCTTTAAACCGTAAGAAATTGACTAATCATAATTGATTTTTCCCCTATAATTCGACTGTGGTTGGTCAATTTCTTACGGCTTAAAATTTACTACACCTATTGTAGATCGGGACTAACTGGACTCTGAAGTGTAGTCTACAATGGGCATTAGAAGTATATTCATAAGAAGAATAAAAAATTGTCCAATCATAATATAAGGAGAATAATCGACTATAATTGGTTAATTTCTTATATTCTTACTTCTTATAAACATTGGACTATCCCGGGATAGCCGATCCTTAATTATGATTGTGTAATTAAGCTACTATGAATTATCATCTTTTAGTTAATTGAGCTCTCAATTCCATCAATTATACATCAAAGTTTTTGACAACTTCACCTGTGAAATTAACATATAGAATGTTTGAATTTTTTTAATGCAACACACTCGCCGTATGCAGGTAGAGCCTTCAACAGAACAGAAAGGTATCATTTCTTGTGCATTTTGCCACATTCTTTGAATTCATATGCCAATCTATCTTAATTTATAATTAATATTCTTTCCTTCCTTCTCCTATTGTCCGTATCCGGGCGTGGTGACCTTTCTCTCATCTGCCTGCGTATACGCTGATTATACACAAGTATGTGGGACCTACAGTTTAACGCAGGTTTCGAACGGCAAATTTTTTCGAAAAGCGTTCATGGCAAAGATACGCTCGGTAGGTTGCCACTTCTTTCCGAGAAGAGACACGAGCATAAATATTTTTGGTTTCCACCGGTACACCAGTCCACTATACCACGCTCGCGCTCCTAATTAATATCTATTAATAAAGACGTTCTATAATAAAAAAAAAAAACGATATAGGATTTTTCTATTCAGTTCGAAGTGCCTTCAATCTGCAAACGGGGGTGTGGTATTTAAATTCAGAGATATCCTATATATCAATTTCTTTTATAATATACGTATATTAATATAAAATACTTTTTTCTCTCTCACACGTATCATCGTTGGCAAATTTTCGAATACATCTTAAAGCTTCTCTTGTTTAACTAAGGAATTGTAACACCGGGAATATGCAAAAAAAAAAATATCAGCGATGGAAATCTGAAGTGAACAATTTTAGCCACCATGGATCTTAGCCAAAATTCCATTATAATTCGATGTCTGTTGTCATTTCGAATCTATACTTGTCGAAGGCACATTATTACCATCTTCGGCGGTGGAGGGATCCTTGTCGCAGGTATTGAAAGCTTTGAAAAAGTATAACAGAGGGGACACCGGATTCTTCGTCGCTTTTGATACTTTCGGGGAATCGTGCGATCGCATCCTGAAAGTCCTTCGAGCAGGTGCCGTTCTGCTCTTAGGACTGCACCCCAGAGAGAATACACCAAATTTCTGATCGTATCTCTCTTTCCTGAACTTCGTCAACCAATCGACGTCCTTCTTCTGCTTTTGCGGCGATATCTGAAGCAAGTGCGGCGCAGTCCCGTCTATCACGAAATTCGGTAGGTTCACCGTAGGTGAGGAAAGGACGTCTGTATTCCGCTCGTTCGACTCAGTTGCATTATCCGAACTGGAAGTGCTCTTGTTGTCTGTGGTGAATAATAATCTTCGTGTACCACGACATTCCGTGCGCACTCGTTTCGTCTCGCCGACAGCAGACAAAACAAATGGGAGATTCTCCTCGGACCTTACTCTTGCCATCATTTGAAAATAACTGCGTTTACTTGAGACGGGTGTATTATTTTGGTCCTCTCTATGATTGGCGTCATGCTCGTTGCTGGGAGTGGCACCTGCGGAGATTAAACGCATGGCGAGTTCGCCGGATGCATATTAAAAGTTGCTACACTTACTTAAATGTATATAAACATTTTGAATAATTAACCTTTCACGTAGAATTTCATCGTTTGCGCCCTTGATGGCAAGACAAAAAAATGATCGGATTCTAAAGGTATTTAGGGTTAGTTTTTCAGGTCGAAGACTGAATATAAATTTGAGGTGAAAATTTCAAAATTCAAAATGGCGGGCCTAATATGGCGAGCAAAAAATCTATCCGAACGTTATGAAACCTATGATTTGCAAGTTTTTTAGATCGCTAATTACAAATTCTGAGTTGAAATTTTTATAGATTCAACGATAGCATCGTTTTACCCGAAGCACTGCCCGAACCTGGTGTCCTATCGCAATGTAGAATATCGGTGGTTGATGGAGTAGTTTCAGTTCTCCTCGTATATATACATTCTTCCATTACAGGCTGAGCTCGACCACATATTTCCACTTCTTCGTTCTCTACTTTGTGCTCATATCCAACTCTCCATATTCTGTGGTAGGAATCGTCCGAGCAAGTCACTATCTGAGAACGAGATTAGATCAATATTGAACCTCATAGCTATGTGAGAAATTACCGGCTGTTAATGGATAATAATGAAATATTTTGGAAACCTTTATGTCACCCACGTTGCACCAGGTGATACAAGTAACTTCTTCCCTGTGGCCCAGGAGTTTGATTAACGGTCTACCCGGTTTGTTGGTACGCCAAATGTACGCAAGACTGTCACTAGATCCGCTGGCAAGGTAGCGACCGTCGGCGCTCAAGCAGGTTTTTACGTAATACGAATCATTTTGATGCCCGTAAAACGTCCCCACTGTCGCAGAAAACGAAAAGTTTTACTTGGTCTCGCTGAGATGAATATTTTTTGACTCAAAGAAGAAGAAAACATTACCAGACTCGTGACCAGACGATGATAAATTATAGGCATATATAACATGGTCCATGCAACTTGCGTATAATGTAGTCTTGGCTGGACACAGCAACAGAGAGGAGAAACCGTTCTTGGAACTACTTCCTGCATATTTAATTTCATGTTTGGCAAGTGGTTCCCTTTTATGGATTGTATAGTTCTTGCGTAGGTCCCATACTTTAATGAAACTGTAATAGAAACATGTTACTGATATCTCTGTATGAAAAGAAGTTCTACAAGATCTGAGATATTTCGTTTTTTACTCTCTAACATATTGAACATATCGCTCTGTCTAAACAATTCGCAAATCAAAGTGCGTTTAATTTTTTCTTATACTTCCAAGTATAGTAACAATCTTACCCGTCGCCCGCAGCACACGAAATTAACGTAAAGTCATCCTGAAACGTTAAACCTGTGATGCTTTGTGATCGTGACGGTTGAAGTAACTTTGGTTTCCTTTTGGTTGCCCTACCAACAGGATGTCCAGAGGTAATGCAATTATCTGGTCTGGGTTGGTCAAAATGGCTGGCTCTGATGTCCCATATCATAATTACGCCATCCCTAGCCCCCGTTGCAAAAACCGCTAAAGTTTACAAAAGATGTAGAAAGATTCGAAATTACACAATAAGTTGCAGGCAAATAATTTAATTTTTATTTTCTATAAAGACACCTGTTTTTATTTTTGTGAATATGAGAAATCATAATATTGTATAATCAAAATTGATAAAGCACTGCAGCAGATATACCTTTATCCTGATGACGAAATGCTGCAGTTTTTACACTTCTTGTATGTGCATGAAAACAACTCAATTCTTTAATTTGTGACCTTCCAAATGTACTGACATCCCATAAGCGTGCTGTGTGATCCGCTGCTACTGTAACCAGCTTCAATTCTCCAGGCATCCAAGCAAGATCAAAAATTGCATTGGCATGTGCCTTAAAAAATAGCGTACTCATGGTTAATATTTCTGAATATTTTACTATCAAGTAAAATTTTGCAGCTTAGCAAATATCAATGGTGATATCAATAATAGTGATATCAATAATTTGTTACAAATATAAAAAACTAGAAGCGACAAAATCTGATCAAGGTAAATGTTTGGAAGCACTATTCTATTAAAAACCGCATTCTGTTTTGTAGTAATCAACAAATTATAAAAAAAATGTATATCTTTTTATAACTTGATTCATTGATTACTACAAAAAAAAAACAGTTTTGGTGGAGTAGTGTTTCCAAACATTTACCCAAGTAGCAAGAAGAGCAAAAGATTTTTCACATTCTTTCTTGTGTGATAAAAAGTTTTCTTAAATTTTATAAAATTTAATTAAATTCTGTAAAATTAAATTCTATAAAATTTTCACTCTATAAAAATAAGTAATAACCTGTATTCCACCTAATGGCTCATTATGTCTTCCTTGGACTGTTGTATCTTGAAGAGCAATATGTCCAGTTTCATTTGCCAAACCAAGAACTTCCTCGTATCCTGGCTTAGTGGAAAAGCTACACGCAAACACTAGTGGGTCAGAATAAACATCATACCTGTTTGTATTCGACGTTATCCCATGATATACATCGTTATACCAGCATGTCAAACGATATAAAGGAATATCATAATCTCGTAATGATTCTAAAAAGAAGAATTAAACACGTGAATAGAATTGCAACATATTCTTAAAATTTATCACGAAATTGGTCGTAATGTATAAATCACATTGTAAAAAATAGTTACGTTTAATCAATACTGATTTGTTAAAATTGTGCAATTTAAATGGCCATTATTACGATATGGATAACTTCTAAAACACGAATTTGAAACTTTTGTAAAATTTATATTTTTATTTCATTATTCACCTAGTCCGCCCTCTCGTCTCTGTAAAGCATTTACTATGTTCATTTTTTACCGACATTAATATAATATTGAGATTAATTTGTCAGAGTCAGTCTGAGATTGCCTGTGTTCAGAAATTACTCAACCATTGTACAACCGTTGTGTTTTCTGGACGCGAACATTGTTTATATCTCTAATACACACGATACTAAACGCGGGTAGCTCTCACTTTCCGACACTTTTACAGCATAAAACTTCCGAACAAATGTAGAGAGGTTTCAAGCATTGAATAAAATGTAGACGGGGGATACACAAGACTAGGGATGGGCAAAATAATCGATGTTTGAAAAAACATCGATGTTCGCTCATTGCGTTGTACGAGTTTGTCGGATATGCCGATTGGCTGTAGGATAGAGAATTTCTAGAGTCCTTAATATTTTCTCTAGATGCAATACCATTCTCAGTGAGTGATGTTTTTTAAACATCGATGATTTTGTCCATCTGAAGAGCTGAAATTTTCATTGCAGATTGCCCCGTTTTAAAGTGAGACAAAATATATATGTTTCGCCTTAACTTATTGCATCAATTCAGCTAAAAAGAACAGACCAGATGTTTCTAAACCTGGTAAGCCTGATATATAATACGCAGTGTGTACGTTCCATAAATCATTCTGTAGCGAGCTGACCGAGTTGATTCTATAGTTGTACGTATACACATGTAAGTTGCATACCATTTTGGCCATTTTAGCAGATTATTTCACTTTAACGGTATACATAAAGAAACTGCGTGAATTCATGCAACACGAGGTAATTGCGTCAATTTTCGTGACATTGGATATCACGGGCGCGCATATGGTCGGTGCATGTAACTAAACGTTGAGACGTTGATCTGCAACGCTTTTCCTTTTCGCGAACAATAAGTTTGTACATACGAACGATAGTTCTCCTAAATCAACAATAACATTATGCGAAGCGTACTCCTCGAGGAATGTTGAGTATCATTTTCTCGTGACATTGAACTACCCTTACTATCTGACATCACATTAAAACCATATTAAAACGTATTGAACACCTATTATAAAGTGTTAACATGACCTTCATTCCATCCACAGTTAAATAAATGTATATTAATTCGAGGCTGATATATGTAGAAATAATTAAATCTACTTACGAAGTATTGTTATAAATACGACGTTTCTCGAGGATAGGCTTTATTTATGGATGTGTATGCAGATATAAAATGTATGCATATATGTATGTCATCAAAATGGTTGATATAAGTTCTATGGTATATATTCACATATACATATATATATGTATATATATTTTGAAATGTAAATACATGTAGATTTTTCAAATAATATATATTCATGTATATATGTATGTATATATATGGAAAAGTATTTTAGAAAAACCTATAAATTTCTAAACATTTGTGGTAAAGTTTCATCTAGTTTCATGATGAAATTTAATTTAATAAAATAATTTCATAAAGTATCTTTATAACTTGATTGATAATTTGTCTATTTTTCATTTATCACATCTTGTGCTGCGCGGGTCACTGTTGGTTTATACTGAATTTTCTGTTCAGTTCTGGTACTTAATATTTTGGTCCTAAAATAAAACATAATAATAAAATCATCATCATCATCATCATCCTATTGTTTCTTAACAGAAATGTGGTGACTTTTCTCTCTCTCTCTCTCTCTCTCTCTCTCTCTCTCATATACCCGTGTATAATCAACGTATGCATATGAGAGAGGTCACCACGCCCGGGCAACAGGACTGAGATGGATGTTAATATTACACACACACATATATTCTTTTATGTTTCCTGATGTTAGAAATATGGAAAATATGAAATCCTTATAATGAGAAAAATATTTTATCGACGTCACATAGATTTTATCGGTTGTTGTTGATTTTCACACATGTATACGTTTCATTAATAATATTAATAATAATAAGAGTTTGTAATTCTTATATACGTGTGATTTTATGTATTATATATAGCAAGTATTCTTAAGCATCTTGTTAAGTAATGTATTATTTTCAGATAAACTCAACAATATATCGCGCAACTATAAGTATCACTTAGAAAGAAATGAATATTAGCATCGTGGACAAACGAAGGAAGTGCACTTAATTTTTGTCAAGGATATGGATTCTAAAAGCAATACACATAGCATTAGTAATGATTCTGAAGGGAATCTTTCCGACATAGATGACGCTGAGAGCAATCAATCCGATAACATGCAATCAAGTTCTTCGAAAACTGAAGATGTAAATAGTCCTGGTAGTAAATGTGAAAATATTACTACCATAAAGGATGTAAGCCCTGCAGCGGGACAGAGTAATAATGTTGTGCGTAAAACTATGCAAAGTGAACCCATGAAACTTCCTCTACAAGATAATTACCAAGGAATTGACGCTCATACCGATGAATGTGATAAAAATATGTTAGAGGAAGTATCGCTCACTACTTTTAATGCAGTTGATGCGTCAGAACCATCTACTTCACGGGACGATAGCCCATCTTCTTACCATACTAAAGAGCCAAATGCGTTACATGCAGATCAAAACAAAGTTAAGAGAAGTACATCAATGGAAAATTTAGGTGATAATTCGGATGAAGATGCAAGTAAACGGCAGAAGTTAAATGATAGCGCGAACAGTGAGGAAAATGCGATTGATGACACGTTAGTAACGTTTCAAAAAACCAACTTGAAAGTGAGGTTGCGGAATTATCGCAAGAAGAGAAATGTAGCCAGCGATAACGGAGATAGTTCTAGAGCTACCGTGCATAATGAAACAGTCAGAGAGGCTTCTATTCTCGATGGAGACGAAGATTTATTATCAAGTAATATATTTTACAATACAACCTTCTTTAAGACGTCTCTTGATAATATATTACAGATATCTTGAGGACAATTTAACATTTTTTTTATATCGTCTTTTATACACGCATATTGTCTGAATATTGTAAGACTTCAAGTATATCCTACTTGTATTAAATGTCTTTCAGGTGATCTCTAAGATGTGTATTTGGCACTTATGTTCGTCTTAGTAAGTATTAATATATATATATATATAAATGATTATTATGATTTCAGGGAATGTTGCATCTGCCAATACTAACAACGAATCAAATAGAACTTCGGAAAGTCGCGAAGGAGGCTCGGAAACAACTAGTGACGGGACTGATCGATACGAAAATGAAAGAGGTAATTTCATATGTTCATATATTTCATGTTTTTCTCTTTCTTTTTTTTTGTAAAAACAACACAGTTGTAATTTTTGAGTAGGTAATTCGAATGATTGGACAACAACTAGCGAGGATGAAATAGATGAAGTCGAAGTGCTTCGTAGTCTCAAAAACGAAAAACCGCCACCCAACTTTAATCTAGTATCGGAAATTATAAGCCGCCAAATAGGTAGCAATCCGTTGTTTCACGAAAAGTTTTATGGCTCTTTACACGTTGTAGAGCGGCTTAAACTGCTGCATCAGCTTAAAGAACATCAGGTAGAATTAATGTTATGTACAAAAGATGCGTTTTATCATTCTTGTTTGATGATATACACAATCTTGGACTTTGGTTTCACAATATAAAATTTCCGACTTTTGTATTGATGAAAAATTTTAGACATTGAATATGAGTTTCACTTACATTTTGGATTTACTATTATCACAATAAACTTATTAAATAAGCTTCTTTCTTTGCTTCTTTTCTTTCTTTTTTTTTTTATCTCTTGTCTTGGCTCATGCTTTCGTCGACTTTTGTGTTGCGTGTCACAATTGTTATCTTGTGTCGGTATTTGTATCAACAAATACTAATTAATAGCATTTTTAGGGTTGTGTAAATGCCTTGAATTTTAATCAAAAGGGGAACTTATTGGCGAGTGGCTCCGATGATTTAGCAGTAGTTATCTGGGATTGGGCTAGAGGGAAGAAGCGCCATTGGTTCGAAAGCGGTCACAGTAGTAATATGTTTCAGGTACGCCGGTGGCATCTCATTCTTTAGCATCATAAGTTTCCACGCAAATTCTTCAGGCTGTCAATAATTCTATTCCAATTCACGATAGACCGTGACGATAGTTTCGTTAAATTAGTTAACAAAAATTCGAAAATATGAGGTGCCAGCCTGCTTTACAGCAGCAGCAGCGTAGTCGATTTTATATACATAAATACATAAGGATATGACTTTATACCGATGAATCATATTTTAGAATTAAGATAAATTTTCGTTCCTTCAGTAATTGTCCGAAATATACTTGTTTCTAATCAACTTCGTTTACTTGAATAACACACATTCAGGCGAAGTGGTTGCCGTTCGACATGGAATATCTCATGGCCACTTGCGGCAGAGACGGTCAGGTACGTCTGTTAGATCTTAGACACGAAACGTCGAGAAAATTGGCGACACATCATGGACCGTCGCATAAATTAGCTGTTCACAATGACACGCCTCATGTAATCATCTCGGTGGGGGAAGACGCGAAGGTATTATCGATAGATATTCGAGAGCGTAAGCCAAACAAGTAAGTGACATCTATATGACAAGAACTATGTGTGTTTGTATTATACGTTGTGTTCTCATACTGTGTATATCGTGTATACCTTTTATTAGTATTATTATTTTATATAGTATAATAAGTAAATTCTTCCTTCTTCAGGTTGTTGGTGGTAAAAGATGAAACCTCAGAGGTGCACACTGTGCAACTGTACAGTGTACATTCTAATCCTTTTAGTAGTAACGAATTTTGCGTCGGTGGCCGTTCTCATTACGTCAGGGTGTACGATCAACGAAAAGTTTCGACGCCTCTTTATAAATTGTGTCCCGATCACCTGGTATGTTGCAATCGCAGTTTTATCATAGTGAGGAAGAACAATTAATGAGAAATTCGATCACCACCACACCGGATTGGTGCATGCTGAAGGCTGTTAATTTTTGCCATGGAGCGTATTAGAGATTCGTGTAATCGATGCGACGTTTAACATTTCTGTTGAAATAGTCGAAAAGAACATAAAGATATGATTGGTTATACGCCAACGACAATTTACTCGCGTAAAATCTGAGACTGTACGATCAGTTATTCGTCGCATTGTCTTTTACATTTCATTGACTTACACTTGGAAATGTTTATTATTTGATTTATTATTCGATAGTCCTGGTACTATATATAGTTTAAATGCATTTAGACGGAGAATAAGTACGCGCATGTCACATGCGCTGTATATAATTACAACGGAACCGAAATCCTCGCATCATACAACGATGAAGATATATATCTGTTTGACAAGTTGATGTCGCCATGCGTGGATTACGCGCACAGATATCGAGGTCACCGAAATAATGCAACTGGTATGATACACACATATTTTACAATATACTTTTTACACACATTTTATAATATATTTTACACTGTTATATTTATTTAATATATAATGTTTTACACACTTTATTAATATATTAATTATACATGTATATCTTTTTCTTCGTAAATTGTTGTAACTCAATTTCTTACTTTGAATATGTTAAATCACTTGTTTTTCAATTACAGTGAAAGGCGTCAACTTCTTCGGGCCTAAAAGCGAATACGTTATATCTGGCTCCGATTGTGGCAACATATTTATTTGGGATAAAAATACAGAGGCTGTTGTGCAATGGATGAAAGGCGACGAGCAAGGAGTTGTGAGTTCTTACTTCATGAATTTGACAGATTTTTCGATAAGATGGTGAATAATGTCGCAATTAATATCTATCTTCAGGTAAATTGCTTAGAAGGTCATCCGCATATTCCTGTTCTTGCAACAAGTGGATTGGATCATGATGTCAAGATATGGATTCCCTGCGACGACGGACCTCCGAAGATGGGAGACTTTGCTAAGGTATGCGCGTATATAAACTTTATGCGTTACTTTATACCAGAAATTTCGCACATCTCGGCCAAATTTCAGCTGGCTTCACTTTATCCCATCGCTCTGCCCCAACCGTTAGTTCTCTCGACTTTCATTTGTTTATCTTTGTTTCATAAGTGCATTCGAAAGAACGCGAGAAATAGGAAGCGCGAAAACGAACCAGACGCATTCGACGGCCAAATGCTTTGGATCTTACTTAGGCACATCCGCCAGTCAGAACCAACGCGGGTAAGCGATAAGTAGAATGTCTCGCGATCTAGAATTGTCTTCTTATCATTTTCTTTCCTAGCGTCGCTTTGGACGTCATCCCCCGGCTGAAGACAGCGATGATGAGGATGATTACGTATCCGATGGCTCTTCGAACGATAATTCGTGGGAAAGCTATTCTGAAGGCGACGATATCGGAAGATTACAGTGCCCTCCGTCTTAAAAAGCTGTTGTGCATAATTATATATAATTTGTTGCAATGGAGAAATTGCGTAGCATCTGAAAAATTAATTTTGTCGTTTTGCAATTTTAAGGAATATAATTTGCGGAGTGTATAGGAAGAACAATTATGCAGGATTTTGTCGCAAATCTTGCACACAATATCATTAGTCTTTTTTATCAGCTCGAGATAATTAGTACATATACTTAACTAACTATATATATACTTAAGCGGTTTACGGTTGCATTGTAATTTTTGAATATACGTTGAACAGATATATAAAGACTGCTATATTGATAGACTGTATGATATTTAGATAAGAAGAAAAAAAAAAGAGCATCGTATTTTATAATAGTCGTGCAAAAGATTGTAAAACGCGCTTTCTTTTCTTTATTTATATTTAAAAATACCGTGGTTACAATTAACACTTGTCTCATACAAGTAGGATTGTTTCTTTTTTAATTTAGTTGATATATTGATGTACGTTTAGTCGATAATATTAATTATACTTCTAAGGGTATGATTAATCGTAATGTGATAGAAAGATACGTTGTTACGTTGTTCTAATGATTTATAGTTGTATCTCAATATATAATATATTTAAAAGTTTCGACCACACAAGCTTATTTAAAAGATAATTCCGATATTTTCTTCGAAAATCATTCTTTTATGCAGCCGAAGCAAATGGTTAAACATTTACTGTCAGCTCCGTCAGACCTCTTAATCATGATCAAAAATGTTTGTAGACATTTTTGTTATATGTGTCTTCCCTTTTAACTATGGTCGCGTTCCAATATTCAATGTTTATTCAGTACCGAAAATATCTAGTGTACGTGACATGAACAATAGATGTTCAGTAATGCTGGTGAATATCAGAAATTAACCTATATAACCATGGACTATCAGTCAGCATTTTTACGATGTTTCACTAAAATATATACAACACGTATGTATGTATATATTTTATCGAAGCGGGATTCGCTCGAAAAATGACAAAAGTGTGTGGAAAATAATGGGGACTATTTCGAAGATTATTCGTTTTTTGTGAATAAATATTGAAAAATCATGCTAAAAAGGTACCAAACTTATTTATACACTTAATAGACTTAAAGGTTCAACATAGAGCCAAAATTTAAACTCGGGATTTTACATGCTTTTCTGCGAAGAAACGTTCTACTCACGCGCGACCGACCGTAAATCTCAAAACGCACGAGAAATTCGCGTCGCCGAGCGCACACTGGCGAGATGCAGCAAAACAAAAGTTACTCGACAAACGCGTATCCACGATATTTACACAATTCCGGATATATAATTATGATTTCATCGACCGGCCGCTCCTATTTATTTTCGTTTTTTTTTCGTTTTTTTTTTTCTCGATCTACCCGTCCTGTCTCGAAATACGCAAAACTGTGTATGTGTGTGTGTGTGTGTGTGTGCGTGTGAGAGAGAGAGAGTTACGAAACGCTTTCTCCTTGTATGATGGATATTTTAAGTATGCAGCTTGCACCACTTCCTGTATCACCGGACCCGCCGTACCGCGATAGACGAAACAAAGAAAAAAGTGATTTGTGGATGTAATTGTGGCGGAGTCCGTGTAACATACAACACGACCGATTACCTTGGTCTTAACACTGAGCTGCTTGTTTAGAGAACATCGTAATCGGCCAGAAAGCGGGAAAACCAGTAGGAACGCAGAACGATAATCTCATATGCAACCGGTTTACTTAATATATCACGAAAAATCCAAGACTGTGAAGCAAGTCTCGTCTCTCTCTCTCTCCCTATACCGTTTTATAATAAATAAACAAAATGAGATACGCTTTTTATGCGCATCGCATATTATTGGCACATAATCATTACTTACATTATTTAATTATTTCTTGACGAAATATAATTGTATGAGGATAAAAGAAAATGAAATCAAAGGAGAATAATATTAATTCCGAAGTTATGAACTATTAAACTAAGATATTGTTTTCTAATACGGTGTGAATGTTTTTGAGAAAATAGCAATGATATTATATATACGTGCTTTGCTGTTGCCTTTGGGATTTTCTATTTGTTGTCGGGCATATTAATTAACGCGTGAAGTACAACGAAACGGAAGGAAGTTTACTGTTACGAGAAAATGCATCGCAATGTGCAATTAGGCATACGCAGTGAACCGTTTGTTGCACATAAGGTAAATAAGAGTGTTTATCATGCTTGCTCGCACTTTCGCTCGTCCAATGTCGATCCGTGTTTACGATCAAAGATATTACGATTAATTTTCCGTAAAATTCCGAGCACATATTTGAGAGGTCATGCATTATATCATCGCGGTGACTATGGTTATGCAGATGCTAGGCAGATCGCTACGTCATGTTATATTCGAGCAACGAATCTTATATTTCGCATAACTCTAACTTTTTTCATCAAAATCGAACGAGAATCATAGGATTTCTCTCCGAGAATCGTGGCATCGCTGTTTTGACAACACCGAGTGAAATCTACATTATTTATTAATGCAAACATGATAATGAGTCTCGTATACTAAGGCACACGTATAACATCATCTTCCAGATATATCGATAGAATATATAGCCATGTATTGTTCTCAAAGTGAAATGACGACTTAGAAAGTAATTAATCATATTCGTCTTTCGAAACGCGATTGCGAAACATAAGAGAACTCTAGAAAAATATAATTGAATAATATAGAGGATATTTTGTAAATACTATCCCATATTTTAAGAGTTAATTTTTGAAGTCATATTATTATTAAAAAGAAAAAAAATAAAACACATAGTCTCAAAAGTTTTGTTTCAGAGATACAAGGGTGTTAAAATAATTCCATAAAATTATCACTCCTCTTTTTAATAGCTCCTAGACGAAAAGAGATTTTTTTTCAAACTTTAGCCAGTAAATTGACAGGAAATTATCTTTACGTTTTTACCTGTATGGTTGCCGTTTTATAAGAAGTTAATGGAACGAGATTTCGGTAGCACATTATTGTCCCAAAGCTGTTCGCCAATGGACGGAATCAAATTTTTTTTACAGGTTTTTATTATTTATTAATTATCTACAAAGAGTACTACTCTTGGTGGATTTCAATAAAATCATTAGTTTAAAATATATTTGTGAAGTATTAAAAAAAAAACGATAATTTTATAGAATTTTAATTCTTGTATCTTTGAAACGATATCTTTGAGGTCATATGAACTTTTCTTTATAAAATGACCTCAAAAATCAACTCCTAAAATATTAGACATTACTTAAGAGATATTTCCCCCAGTACACCTCTGAACAAATATTACTTTCTGGGTCGACAGCAATTGTCGTTCGCTACGTTAATGTAACTAATATCGGTTCGTATCAATTACATGTTAGCATAAGAATGGATGTTCCATATGTTCCACGTGACGTAAGGCGAATCTTAGTTGCTTTTATACGATGTTGATGTAACCGCGTATAATCCATCAATTTGCAAGTTAACGATGAAATTTATGTTTCTCGGAGTTATACCGCGCTCTCATTTATTTATTTGCGGAAGTATTTCTCCTCCGATTTATCGACGATTGAAGCGGCGGAATTGAAAGTAAATTCACAAACATGGATTCATATACGAATTCAAGATTCGACGACGTGTATGCTTATCGAGAAGATGAATAATGTTGTCATCATTGCGACGTCGACAAAACGTACGTCGCGAATCATTAGTTTTTCATTTTTCTTGAAATCGCTGTAAGACGCAGGGCCTATCCGAGTGTAGGAAAAGAAATTGCTCCGATTACATCGCGTGTTACGTATTACGAAAACAGACATCTTCGAGCAAAAACCGATCATACATACAGACTCGCACGCTCTCATGCACACACGTGTGTGTCGCAGCACTGGAAGCTCCCTACGCACATCGGAGAGTTACGCAGCACTCCGTGCGTTCACGAAACGAACGTAACGTGAGCCTTGCGTTTCCTTACTTTTACGTAACTCGTGATCCCGAGCCACTTTGCTCTCCCACCCTGTGTGTAATTTCACTGGGTGGTTTTGGTCATCGACGGGTCTGTCCTTTATAAACGGACATCCTCGACGGTTTAAACACAGACACTGTATCGGCACGTTCGCAAACGCACAGCACCGTCGTCGTCGCGAATTTTTTTCGGAAGTAACTCGACTAATTTCGAAATAAGCCGAATCGATGATGCGCTCCTACATCGTAACCGTGAGTGTATATTACAATATTACAATATATATATATATATATGCATATAATTATTATTTTGTTACATTCAAAATTTTGACAAAGTTCCTCATTCGTCCTGTGGCCGTCAGTGTTTTTCTAAATAACACGGAATATACTGTACGCAACTAAGTGTGTATGCAAATTGTGCGCGAATTTTGTGACATAAAATTGAGCTTACGTTAAGAGAATTAATATATATTATTATATAAAATAATATACAATAATATAAATAATAATAATTATATATAATAATTATTATATTGTTTTATTAATATTTAATTCTTAATTTTTATTATATATAATAAATTAGTTAGTACTTTGACATGTATCATGGAGGTCATGACCGTCTTGAGTAACCTTCAGAAGGTTCTATTTGTCGCTCGTTGTTGGTTAAAGTGAAAAAAATTTGACTTGTTCTAGTAATTGACGCTTAAATCTCTCGCCTTACTAAATTAATGAGTCTATTTTATAACAACAGAATATATGTTTATGTAATAATTCTTATATTTTATATACACAAAATTAATATATTCAAACTAATGTTGTAGTTTCTTTACGTGACATTAAAGTCTTTGAAAGAAAAAGAAACTTGATTGTACTGATCGAGTCTTGAATCTAAATGACTGGTTACGGTCGTCTTTTGAATTAAAAGTAAACATCGCCGCTTTATAATTGCATGAGCCCGCAAGAAGAATGATGAAACATGAATGGAAAAAAAAAAACGTTGCGCATTCGAATGAGTCCGCTGTATGAGTACGATGCATTTTCGATGTCACAAACAAACCTCTCGTCTCGTTTTGCAGTTGCTCGTGTTCGGAATAATGACCGTGGCTTTGGCGTCGCCGTTACCAGGTTACAGTCATCAGTGAGTACAATATTAATTAAACGTAAACTCATTCGTTCGCGGAGAGGTCGTAACATTTTTTTCTTTGATGAACCTCTTTCAAAACTCGCTAAATCAGAAAAGCGTCGCAAACGTGAACATCAAGTGTATTGCTGATTCTCTCCCTCTCTCTCTAATTGAAGAAAACAAATTTTACAAATTAAATACGACATGACAACTATGTGATTTCAGTAACCACCATGTCATTCATGTGCCTTACCATGTGCACACGGTCCATCATCATCACGTGAAAAAGATACATGTACCGGTACACCATGTCGAAAAAGTACACGTTCCTGTTCCGGTTCCGGTGCATCACGTCGAAAAAGTACCCTTTCCAGTACCGGTGCACCACGTAGAAAAGGTGCATGTACCTGTTCCAGTTGTGGAAAAGGTGCCTGTACCAGTTCCTGTACATGAAGAGAAGGGTGGTGATTGGTGGTAGAAGGAGCGCGTCGTTTTTGATTTGTCATTGTTATAGGTCTGTATTTGTGTTATTCGACCGAGCTTGTAATTTATTTTTAAAGATAAAGCGAGAGATATTTTTTAATAACGGAATTTTTGTGGCACGGTTTTAATTGATAAGGTTTAATTATTATTTTTTTTTCACCAACATTCTCCGATTCTATAATATTATAAAATTCTATTAAAATTCTTTATTATATTAGTTACTATAATTATGTTATTGCAAAATATCTAGATTTAATTATTGCTATTATTGTGTGCGAGGTGTTCAAAACATTTTTTTCCATGCACTTCGAAACGCCAGTAGTTTAATAAGAAAAAATTTCAAACAAAATCATACATTTAATATCTTCTGTTGAAAAAGAGCAGTAAATTTCTAATCGAGGACATGAATATGATTTTAGTGCAATCTAACTTCATTATATGAGCAAAGTGTTTGCAGCAAATTTGATCAGAATTCCATATAAAAAATCATAGACATCTGCATTCGTGTTTCAGCGACACAGCCTATTGACAGGCAATTCGAGCAGATTGGCAGCAAAAACCGCGCTGTGCCTAACTGCACGCAACAAGATCTGCTCGGTTTGCCTATCAGCAGGCTCCGTCGCATTTCATTCTGGTAGCAGTTTGGCAACATAATTTGATAGAAACAGATTAGATTTATTGCCACGAAAAATTTATAGCAGACTTTGCTCGAAATCTGTCTGCGCAGATTTGGCTATTTGGGTTTTTTGCTATAGCGCCTAAATTCAAATAGCTAATAAATTTAGCTGTAATGATAGATACTAGCTGTTTTCTATTTCCAAAATTCATTTTAGTTGCCACAGCTTTATATTTTAGATTCGAAATTTTTTCTCTGGATGCAATATACTTAACGGCACTTGAACGGATCAGGCTATCGTGGAAAGGCAAAGTGCGAGTAAACAAAATCTAATGAAATTCATTCTTCATTGCGCAAGCATTGACAGGAAACGGTTCTCTCATCGACTATGGAAGAGTGAAATCGAAATCGAGTGGTATAAAATTACTCGAGCCATCTATTAAACTTTTAAGAACCAGCACCTTAGCATAAGAACCAAATATTTTGTATACACACATGTGTACTCGTGGAACAAAGAAATCTGTATATATTTTTTCATCAAGTTATTGTAATTATTTTTATACAATAAATGTTTGATAAAATATCCCAATAATCATTTTATTCGTATTGAACAACCTTCGGAAATTTTCCCGGGTTCTTGTATGCATTTGCGTGCTTTCGTATCTAATTATTTCCATTTTTTTATCAGCGGTACATATATTCTCCATAATTCTTATTTTTATATAAATTTGTATTATTTCTTTAAAGGAATATACCAAAAGGGAAATATATTTCATTTATTTATATAATTATTGCTGATCGTCGCATTATTTATATAATAAATATAAATATGTCCATAGAAGTCGCAAAAAAAGATTGTACGGTAAGAAAGTAGTTAAATAGTATATAAATACGCTTTATTTTGCATAATTAACAGCGAAACATAATAACAAGTTGTGATTGGAACATTGTCCACTGGCATAATCGAAAAGCTCTACTCCGTCATTGATTAATGAAGAAACTGCAAAACAAAATAATTTACCAGCCATCATGCTCGTCATGCTCGTGATGATCATCCGACTTGACTGGTATGTAAATCTTCTTTGTATGTGTATGGTGATGTTTGTGAATATGATGCGGCACATGAATGATGAAGTGCGCACTGGAAACAATTTTCTTCTCTGAGTATGTCGTGTTTTGAATATTAAACTATATCACAGGAAATGAAACTGTACACGTAAAAAAAAAAATAAAAAAAGAAAACACTGAGATAAAAATGCCAATGCATAGACACGTACAATCTTGGGCATTTTTATTGTTTTTGTCCTTAAAATATTAGTATTTTAACATGTGTAAGGGTACACTTTATCCCTAATCATTATTTCGACAATGGAAAGATTTAATTATTCTTTTCATGTTAGCAGCAGTGTATATTCTCAACCGTAGAAAAAGTTATTTTGATAACAACAGAGTGAGGATGATTCTCCTATATATTCTTCGTTAATATTTTAAATATTTAAAGGCTAGGAAAAATAATGAGAATATCTAATGTTAGGTGCGTGTCCAGGCATTGAAATCTTTACTACAACTTTTATCGAGAAAATAAAAGTTACTGTTCGTGGTGACCGCCGGGATGCGCCGATATTAATGTTACTGTGATGATCAGCAACACTAAAAGCTGAAACAGAAAAATGTTAAACGAAATTTAAGAATTATCTTCTTCTTCCTGTTTTATCGTAACGGCAAAAGCTAACCCGGAAATACCTACGACTTAATTTTCATTTGAACTAAGGAAAAATGCATCGATCAATCTTGTCTTTCACGATAATAGCTAGAGAAAGCGTGAATGCTACGATTACATCTCAGCGTTGCCGAGAAATCGGAATAATAAAGCGGAAGCGGTAACGCTCGGAATGGACGTGTCGTAAAATTATAATCACGAGATGAAACTGAAATTTCAATGCTAAAAAGGCTTCTCGCATATCATCGAATTGTCCTGAGAATACTTTTTTAAAGTACAACTAAATTTGATTTGAAAAAAGGTACTGTTGTCCTATGAACAATCAAAACGTGCTTACGATAAACCGCATAAACTCGAATTTATCTATCTTTAAAAGAAAGCAACAATAATTCACTTTAGATAGCTGTCACAACGAAACCAATTGAATGAATCTGTCTGAAATTTTACAAGTAGAAATTTGATCAACCATGTCAGTTTGATATTAGTGGCGCCATATCATGTATTTTCCAAGGACTTATCAAACGACCTTTGTAATGGCTATGAATGCAACGGTTAAATCGCAAAACCGACACTTTAATGAATAATCAGCCAGTAACGAACTAGTAGCTAGTTAGAAAATTGAATCCAGCCTGTACTAACCCTTCTACACTAATCTATTACCTCCCCAATCAATTTTTCTCATTAGTGCTAACCTTAGACTATTTGAAGCTAAAAGGATTTTTTTTTATGCACGTATAACAAAAATTCTTTAGTTCAACAACGACTTTTGCCTCAGATTTGGACGCAAAAAGTGAAGAACAATTCATATTATTGTAAAATCATATTCTCGAAAGAGTGTAGTCGAATTTTTTCAGTCTTTTTCCAAGCCCTTTAGAAACACAATCAGGCGATCCCTTATGACTAGGAAAGCAATGGAAAACAACGGAAGGCTAGTTAGTCGTATTGTACAAACTCACGATCATTACCCAAAAAGTGCATTATCGTTACCGATGAGTCGTTACTGAATCGTCGCTAAAGAAAAATAACTTTTGCAGCCACGTTACAAATTACTTGTCAATCCTGCAAGGTGGGATGATCAGTGACATTCGCGTATCGAAGGAACGATTCACACTTAGACTTGACACTCACATATGTTCCGTACTTGGCCATGCCTGCGCGGAATGTACATCCAATTATTTCGAGTCTACGACCGTGCAGGGACTGACACTAAGGGACTCATTGCCGAACAGCTTTATAAACAGAAGCATAATCAGTGAACGGAAAACAGTTGTTAGGCGCGCCCCACCTGAAGGATTGCTTTTACTGAATTACGATTATACGAAACCTGACGTGCGCGCGTTCGTCGTGAAGGTGATTTTCGCGGTCCTTCCTGTCGCAGCTCGAATGTTCACGCTTCGATGCTCGACGATAAGTAGCAATGCTTTTCTCGCATATGATCCCCCACTGCTGATTATTCGGAAGTGTCGAAAAGCCGGAAGTTCTCTGGAATTTTTTCCGCGAGAAGGGAAATCAACCCATTGCTCTTTAAATAAATGATGCGAATATTTTGCTGACATAAGAATCGCAAGAATAGGAAGTAATGAAGAGAAAGTAAGGAAGATCGGGATAAGAACGTGAGAAATTATATGTTTTCCCTCTTTTATTATATCTATATAATGTCGTTGAAAAAATGAACGAATCCTTTTTACGTTCCAGCGAAAATGATTTATCGCAGCGATTTATAAATTGCGCGTTACTTTGCGAAAAAGCGGTCGCAAACAGCTTTCTTTAAATCCGCAAATTTTTTATTTGTTATAATTTTCGTTGAAATATCTATCGATTGCGCTCGTCTCATGGATTAAGCACATCACGTTCGAGTGATCGGTCCTCGACTATGCTTACGTAAAATATTATACGTACAAGACTTGACAGATATAATCGATCAAAGGTATCGTGTCCTTACGCAGTTATGCACACCGTAACACATCATTTTATGTAAGCATATAAAATTTTTCATTATTTTCTGTTAGCTATTAATATTAATAGAAAGAAATATTTCCACCGCTATATATAGATACAAAATATATTCTTTGACTGCATTCCGTGATCACTAATTGTTTTCGCAATAAAGAAAGTTCCAATTTCTAATCACACGCATTCATTATATTTTTATCGCTAACTTTTTGCTAATTAATGAGCAGCAAGGTCTCTATCCGTCTCAACGTGGCTCCCGATATGTACGCATATGAGTGAAATCGCGCCTCGTTCATTGCTATTCGATTGGTTCTTTCACTTTCCGCTTACTTTCCATCTTGAACTAATCCGACGTCAACATGTTCTTATAAATGCGACTTTATTACGTCGCTCGTTAACAGATGTCGATGTTTGTAGCACCTCGCGCAATTAGTTCCTATTAGGAAGTAAAATTTACATAGGCACGCGGAATGTTCAAAATTAATGACGTGAATATAAATTAGGATTTATATTTATGGATGTTACATAAGAAGAAAAATCGCGCTAATAAGGAGGCCTTTTGGGAGTCTTGAGAGGCGAATTCAGGGATATTTTTAAGAATTTTTTTATGCATAAAAACTAAGAGAAATATAATAGAAAAAAGAAAAGACATTTCGTTAACAAGTATATTCAATGTAGATTTAAAAACAAATTTTATTTTATTTTTATTCCAATTACGTAGTCCAATATAGCGCCGAAGTTAGGCGAACACAGTCAAACGTATTGTAACATTGATGTTACGTTACTTAGTGTTTGCAAGGAAATTTTTATGCTGTTGTTGCAAATTAATAAATATACAGGATGTTTCTTAAATACTGCTCAATATGTGAAATTAATCAAAGACAATTTATAAATAAATGAATATACCAGGTGTAGAAGTTTGAAACCGGAATTTTTTTGTAAAAATTACACGTCTGTTGTTTGAAAATGATAAAAAAGATTTTATTCAAAATAATGTTCATTGCTA